AGGTAAATTTAGATATGTTTATGTCAATTTCTTGCTGGATTGTTGTTGCCAAACGACTACCTAAGACCGCTGCTTGAAGTTTAAGCCTGGGTATGGATAAAGGTTTAAGAGGACTAACTTTAGCTCTAGCTATTAATAATGAAGTTTCACAAATGTTATCATTTTTAATCTGTAAGTAAGCTATTGCAGCAAATGCTTCTTCACTTGCATCGCTAAATATGTGGACTTCTACTTGATCATCAATCTTCACACCGTGGAATTTTGATTTCTTCTAATGTTTTAAGCATTTCAAGCCATTTTTGCCAAATTTCGTAGATTGTATTGGGAATTTTACTGTCCCAATCTATTCCACTTCGCCAGATTTGTTGCATAATGATGCGACCTCTTATTGTTAAAAATGTTATTAAGCCAAGTGGGTCAAAAGGCGACATTATTATTTTTAGAACCTGTTTTTTCGTAGGTACATCTCCAAGTAAGATTTTCTCAGGTACATTTGCGAAATTTGTTTTGAAGATAAATTTATCACTTCTTGTGTCCCACCAAATACCTAATATCCTGTCGCACATTGACATGTTAATTTCTTTCATTAATTTTTCTCCAGAAAATGTTTTATTTACTTCAGCGGAATTGGAGACCCAATTAACTACTTGAAAACCACCTACTAAACATACTTTAATTATTTTTTTTAACTTTTCTATAGCTTCATTTTCATAATTTGTAGAATCTAGATAGTCGTCAACGTAAAAGTTTTGTTCGATATCTTTTCTCACTTCTGGGTATATTTTTGTATTTTTGCCACATAAATTCTTCACGTATTGGGCAGAGCATGGTGAGCAAGTGGCCCCAAATGTCATTGCTACCATTTTGTAGGTATCAATAGGTTTTCTGAGATCACCATCTCTCCAGAGGAATCTTTGGGAAGATTGATCTTCTTTTATGATTCTGACTTGGTGAAACATTTCACGAATATCGCCACAGAAAGCCCATTTTCTTCGCCTAAATCGCATTAAAACACCAGGCAAGCAAGTTAAAAAATCAGGACCTTGTAAAAGATTATCATTAAGACTGATGCCATTTAACTTTGCTGCTGCGTCGAAGACAAACCTTAATTTTGGTTTTTTTGGATTAATTACACCGAAGTGAGGCAGGTATCAAGTTCTGTTTGATGTATTAGTGGCCTCTTCTGGCGACAGTTTCCTAACGTATCCTTTTTTTTCATATTCTATAATTTTATTTTTATATACACTAGCATATTCTTTGCTTTTCAGCATCTTCCTCTCTACACAAAGCAGACGATGAAATGCGTTTGTTTTGCTTTCTGGTAATGAAATATTTACTTCTTTCCATCATAAACCAGTTTCATATCTATTTTCTCCTTCAATTTTCTTTGTTGTCTTATTTAGTATTTCTATAGCTTTTTTCTCTTCTATATTATTGGACTTATATTGTATATTGGTCCCAAATGATTCTACTGAAAAGTTTTCTTTTATTAGCTTATTAAGTTCAGTATATTCATCTACACATGTCGCACAAGAGAAAAAATTATAATTTTTTAATCTCTTTTCTACTCTTCCGTGGACTACCCAGCCTAAATTGGTTTTTGTTGCCATCGGGGAATTTTTAGGACCTTGATATACTTTTCTCGCCACAGTCAGATTTATATTATCCTGTCCAATCAAAGTTTTGCCTGTTCTTTGCCTATATCTTCTAGTGGAAGACCTTGTAAATGTGGAAATTTGTTGTAATTAGATATATTCATTGTTTGAGTAGGTAAAGAAAGATCTGTAATGATTCTAACATTTTTCATTTTGAAAACCTTTGCATTTTCATGGATACCTGAAATTTATAGATTTACTTTGCATGAGGTATCATTATAAGTAACTATATTTTTCGCCCAGTGCATGCCAAAGGGATCTGGAGTTTTCTGAAGGCCTAATTGTTTAGCAACGTCTTCTTCTAGAAGTGTTGTAGTTAAACCTTCATCAAACAGTGCATATATTTTAATACTACCATTACGGCCATAAAGTTAGACTGGTGCGATTCTTAAGAGAATATCTGTTTCGTAATTTTTTCTATCCACGTTATGTTCTCACCAATTTGTTCTCTGTTTTCTAAAGACGTTTCTATTTGCCCAATAGGAAAGCAATTCTTTTCTTCGTTTGAAGTCTGATCTCGATGTATTAGTTCGTGATGTCTTTTGCCACAATCATTTATTTCGCAGATTCGTCGAGACTTGCATTCTTTTAATAAATGTCGACCATTTAAACATCGAAAACAAGTGCCAAATTTTGTTAGTTTAGAAATTCTTTCTTCAACTGTATCTTCTCGTATCTTTGGACACTCTGGTATTTTATGCCCTTCATTTTTACAATCTATACAACATTTTTTTTTATTTTGTTGTGATGTTAGGACTGCTTCATTTCGTTTTTGGAAATTGTTCTTAAAATTCTTATTTCCTAAATGTTCCATTGAGGTTGTTGGAGTCCGTGAACTGATGTATACTGCAGCATTAGCTAAACCGTTTAGCCATTTGGAAAAAGAATCCAGACTACTTTTGCCTTCTAATCTAGCTACTTCTTGTCCCCCAGCTTAGCTTACACGAGTCAGGTAATTTTATAATTAATTCTTTAATGAGCTGTGGATTTTATAAATAACTTTTTGAGATTAAGTGTTCAAGTGTTGCGACAAAATTGTTGCATTTGCAGCTTAATTTAATAATAGACTCCATATCGCCTTCTTTTATTTTCGGAATAGTCTTAATTTCATACAATAAAGATTCGATTATTTTTTAATTTCTTCCGAATTTTAATTCCAAGGTTTTTATAATTTGATTTGCATTTTTTGGGTGTAACATCATGCTTCTAAAATTTTTTCTTCGTGATCAAGTTTGTACTTTAGTACTTGTCTTTTAAAGTGTTCAATAAATAAAGGCCAATCTTGCGCCTTACCGTCAAAATACACATTTTCTTTCTTGCCATCAGAAATATTTATTGGTTGTAATTGTACTTTGGACTTACTTTTCATTGTATCGACAAATACATTGCAAATTTTAGTTATGATGTCAGCTATGCTTTCATTAGTATCGCCAACATTTTCTTGTTTATCAGAAACAAATAATTTTTCAGAGAAATGATTAGGGATTTCTTCTACCCATTCTTTAGTTCTAGTGTATTTTTCCTTGTTATCTTGTTCAAGGATAACATTATTACCATCTTCGAATGACTGCAAACTAGAAACGCTTTTAGCTTCGTCGATTTGACTTTCCAGTTCTAGTATTTTTAGCTTTACTCGTTCAATTTCTAATTCTTTCTTTTTCTTTTCCAATAACCTTGAACATTTTTTTAATTTAGAAGATCTGTCAGCTTTTGAACCGTTGTTTAAATTAAAACCATGAAAATTAATTTCCAAGACTGATTTCTCTGTTTTATTTTTACAATTTTTATACTCTGACAAGTATTGTCAAAAAAAAGTAACTACAATAAATAGTACATTACATTACGAGTGTGGAAAGTGACATTTTTCACACGAGTGGGAAATATAGTCGCACGAGGCGCAAGCCGAGTGCGACTATCACACGAGTGTGGAAAATCACTTTTCACACAAGTGATGTACAATATTTTTCCTACGACCACAAAATAATGTCATCAAAAAAATGTAAAAACCAAGGTTATTATTACTATAATAATTAAAATGTATTTAAAAAAATAATCAACAATAATCGTATTTATTCAATTTTCATATTTTCTAAACAAAAAAAACTAAAAAAAATAAAAAAAAAATAAAAAAAAATAAAAAAAAACAAAAAAAAAATTCTGCCCCGACAGGATTTGAACCATAGATTGAACGCGGTCGAAAAATGGCAAAATTGATAAGTTCGACGTCCTAACCAGCTGAGCTAACAGCCCTTGTGTCAATTGAATGATCTAATCGGTTATGTATTTAACCAAAATAAAGAGCAAACATTATTTTAAAATTATTTTAATAATAATTGTTAAAGATAAATATCTAGGATCTAATTTACAACAATTTCAATAATTTAACAATCATATCGATTTTAGTATTAATATGGATATTACATAGATCAAAATAGAAATTAGCTTACAAAATAATATCAAAAAAATGTAAAACCAAGGTTATTATTACTATATTAATTAAAATGTATTTAAAAAAATAATCAACAATAATCGTATTTATTCAATTTTCATATTTTCTAAACAAAAAAAACTAATAAAAAATAAAAAAAAAACAAAAAAAAAATTCGGCTCTGCCAGGATTTGAACCATAGATTGAACGCGGTCAAAAAATGGCAAAGTTGATAAGTTCAACGTCTAAACCAACTGAGCTAATGGGCCTTACGTCAATTGAATGATCTAATCGGTTATGTATTTACCCAAATTAAAGAGCAAACATAATCTTAGTTATTTTAAAATTATTTTAATAATAATTGTTAAAGATAAATATCTAGGATCTAATTTAAAACAATTTCAATAATTTAACAATCATATCGATTTTAGTATTAATATGGACATTACATAGATCAAAATAGAAATTAGGCGTTTGACATTTTTTGACAACTACTGCGGAAAGTAACATATTCTCACTTGGGTGGAAAGTAAATTCTTAGTCATACGCGTGTGATATAGGACACTTTCCATAGGACTATATAGTGTGATATGTGTCACTTTCCTAAGTGGTCGTAGGAAAATATTATATCAATATATCCTTAATTGCATCATCTATATACTAACTATAAAAAAATATATAACACACATAAATTGAGATTAGGAAATTAAAAACCAAGACAATAATGAAAAATGAAAAACTACCGCTTTGTCCATCTTCTTAATTATTGAATCGGAATAAGAATGCTCACGAACACCACAACTAATAATTGATGTATGAAAAAATTTAAATACCTAAATTATTTTTGATCTTTACAACCAAAAAGTAGTTGTCAGACAATTTGAAGTTGATTTAATACAACAGATGTTAAAATTTACCTGAAGCCGGTTCAATGCTGTAAGGTCCATTATGATGAATAACAGCAATGCTGGGCAAAGATGGACCCTGGAGCGCCAAGGTAACTGCATTGACACCATTGACATTATCTAATAAAAAAAAAAAAAAACATTCAGTAATGTACCGTTTTTATAATTTTGTAAATATTACATTTTATAAAGAAACATTTTAATTGTGCTAAGTAACATGAAACCTTAATAAAATATTTTAATCAAAACCATTTCAATAGAAGGAAGATTCCTTTAAACGTAAATTAGAGCAAAATCAATACCAGAGAAAGTTGTAAAACCCTTCCGAGAGATGGAACTTATGTATAGTTTCTATATTTTACTGTGAAGGGTATAACTTGTTAGCTATTTTCTATCAAAGTTTAAAACAACAATACAGAGTACCTCATAATGAATTAGTATACAAAGTCACATTAGAATACTAATAAAAAAATAATTTAGTCAAATATAATAGTAAAATATTGATAGTTAACAAGGTGCAGGGTGTGATAGTAGAGAAAATATTTGTAAATTTAACGATATATACAATAATACATAAAATTAAAAACTTTTTAATAACATTATGACATTTATCTGAATAAATGAAGTATTTTTAAATACTTATAATTCTGGAGTGAAAATCAAGTTGTTTTTACTAGGTTTTAATTTTCTGATATTATCTTTATTTCATGAGATATTCAATTTTTTATAATTTCCAACCAAAATAAAAAATATTATTAAATTGACTGAAAAATCAATATTTAATAAAAACTATATATACAGAAGTTTAAAAAATGATATACATATTAAGAGAACATATTAATAATATAGTACGTCTCAAAAAGGTTTCTTTTCATAAAAAAAATATTTTCTTTATAACTAATTTTGCACTACTTGCCGTTACAGATTTATTGTTTAATTTGAACACTCTGTACATTATTTTTGGTTGACTGATTTTGTAAAAGAATATGTATATCAGTGTCGGATAAAAAAAATCAGATTTGACATTGTCTATTAATTTTGCTTTATCGAGCCCAATTCATACATTTAATTCTAGGTAAGACCACAAGAACATTAGTCCTTCGAGTATACAGCACCAACCTAGGGATATAGAATTAAGAAATGTGGTGCAAAAACAACAACTGGACAATCAAACTTTAATTGCAGACAACAGCAATTATGACTACAGTAACCGAGATGTTTCGCCCAGACTATCACCTTCTCATAAAGACAGAAGGGCCGTATTCATAGTTCTTCCTTAAGTCGTCCTTAATCCTTAAGTTTACCTTATGTAAAGATTACAATTCATAGTCAACTAAGGACGACTTCAACAGTCCTTAAGTGTAAGGAACCCTTATTGGTGACTTGAGCATTCCTTACCATCATTATTAGGTTAGGTTATTGCAAATTGCATCGTTGACGTTGACGTATTTAAAAAAATAAAGTGTTGACATTATATTATTATGGATTATGATGATTTTATTGGATTTATTGAAGTCTTGGAGGATAATGTAGAGAGGATTCCAAAAAGGTATATCAGAGATGCGGAAAACCCATTTGATTTTTATGCCGAACATCATTTTAAAAGAAGGTACAGATTTTCCAAGGAAACTGTGAGAGATGCCTTATTACCATTAATTTACCAACAATTAACAACTATCACTAACCGTGGTTTACCCCTTGCACCCATTGAACAATTATTTGTGGCTCTCAGGTTTTACGCAACAGGTGATTTCCAAGTAAGTAACAGATACTGTTAAAATATCATAGGTACACTATATTATATTATTATTTTTAGACTATTAATGGTGATCTTCGTTGGGTGTCACAGCCAAGTGTATCTAGAATAATTAGAAGAGTATCAGAATTATTTGCGAGACACCTTAGAAATTATGTCAAGTACCCCCTGAATCATCATGCAAACATCAGAAAATTTTTTGAAATCGCACAATTCCCTGGTGTTTCCGCATGTATAGACGGAATACATATTCCTGTTAAAAATCCTGGTAGAGATATAGGAGAAATTTTCCGTAATAGAAAGGGGATATTTTCTCTTAATGTTCAGGTTGTTAAAAAATGTTTTACTCTTTAGGTATTGTTTTGAAAACCTATTATTTCTAGGTGGCCTCTGGACCAGCTATGGAAATATTAGACATTGTGGTACGCTATCCAGGCTCAATGCATGATAATGTTATGTTTCAGAGAAGTTCATTAAGAATAAAATATGAAAATAATGAAATACCTGGTAAGCAAATAATCTTAAATTATTACTATTTGGTAATAGTAATTGCTATAATTATATTTTAGGAAAAATATTAGGAGATAATGGATACGCCTGCCGAACGTACTTATTAACTCCTGTAATTAATCCAACTAATAGGGCAGAAAGAAATTATAATCAAGCTCATAAAAGAACTAGAAATATCGTGGAACGTTTGTTTGGGATTTGGAAACGAAGATTTCCTTGCTTACGAAGAACTCTAGAAACGAAGTTGCAAACTTCAGTTGCTATCATTTGTGCACTAGCTGTTCTACATAATATAGCAAAAAATGGCCCAGATGATATGGAAGCTGATGATGATGAGGATGCCAATGAATATGAAAATGATTTTGTTATTGATGATCCCAATGCTAATGGACTTCTCTACCGAAGGGATTTTATACAAACATATTTTGCGAACTAATTCATAAATCATTCTATATAATATTTTGTTTTAAAAATGCAATATAAACTTTGTTTTACGGATAAAACAGGCTTTTTTTTTATTTTCCACAAACTTTTTGGGTTACCAATGTGTCTTATTATGAACAATGAAACAAAATATTTTTCAAATATATGAACAAAGGTTTTAAATGAGTGTTACAACATTCAAAGATTGGGAACATATTAAAGTAAAAATAAAAGTTTTATCTGGTTTTGTGCACAGTTAAATAAAAAGATTTTGTTTTTTAAAATATTTATTAATAAAAATTTATATTAACATACTACACTAACATTTCAAAAAAAGAAAAATTAACTATAAGTAACTATAAGTAACATCCTAAAAAATATAAGAAACAAAGAAACAACCTATAAGAAGTAAAAAACAACCTATAAGAAACAAAAAAAAAACCTATAAGAAACAAAAAACAACCAATAAGAAACAAAAAAAACTAAAAACCTAACCTCTTAACAAAAGAAAAATCTTTGAAAAACAACGTTAATAATTAAAAATTGCACTGACATTGTTTCTTCAATAATGATGTCTTAACGGACCAATATTTTTTTTCTTCTTCAGCAGCCTCCATTTTTACTTTATGTAATTCTTTCTGCTGGTGAATATTTTCTCTTAGTTTCTGCCTCCTTAGTTGTGCCTCGTCATCTATTAGCTGCCTTTTTGTGTTTTTTAATTTATTCACAAACTTCCTTTTTGCTCCTAATATTGGCCTGCAAGGAGTGTTATTTTCTTTGTGTTCCTCTTCAATTTCACTTACATCTAAAAATATATTATTTAAAAATAAATAATACATTCATAAAACAAATAAGTTTTTACATCAACGTTGATAACAATGATAATGTATATATTACCTTTTACATATTCTTTATTAACCTGCTCAGATTCAGGATCATTTTTACTGCAGCCACTTACAGATGGTAAATCTGGTGAATCTAAAAATCATTGATATATAGTTTTTTTAAATAATTAGGTAGTTATTTTTGCACTTACTCTTCTCATTTTGAAAGATATGAATGCTATCAAATTGATTATCAATCTCATAATTTATTGTTGGTACTATAGACCGCACTCTTTCTTCGATAGGATCTGCATCATCATCTAGTGGAGGCCCACCACCTGTAGCAAGCATGTGCCGTTTTTTTTCTGTATCTGACTTTCTAGTCCTACAAAACAATTTTTTAATATTCTACAAGAACAGTTTCTATAAAACTTACTTCTGCTTAATGTTGTCCCAAAGCTTTTTTAATTGCTTTGATTTCCTTTTTGTCACATCATTTGCATTAAACAATGATTCGATATTTTGCCATGCTTCTTGTTTTTTTCGAATATTGACACCATCAGTTTTCTTGGTTTCAATAATGTGCTTGTGGCTGTCCACTAAATGTATAAGTAAGTTTTTCTCCCTCTCTGAATAAAATTTACGTTCCGCCATGAAAACGATTCTACTTAAAGTACAAACTTCACCTATGACACACACACAATTAACAAAAAATGTAACAAAAATTCTTCTTTTCAGAATATTTATAAACTAATACCCAAATTTTCATACGGTAGTGGCAAAATATTAACAAAAAGAAGCAGAATAATGACAGTAGTAGATGTTGCCACTTATTCTACTTACTTAAGGTTTCCTTTGTCAAGGCAATACAGAATAAGGATTATGAATTGAAATGTTTAGGGAGACCTTAAGTTTTCCTTACATGAGGTATCCTTAAGTGTACCTTCAAGTACTAACTATGAATACGGCACTAAAGAGAAGTAGTGTGACCGTCAGTTCAAAGACAAGTATAAATACTCTAGAATTGAAAGCAAGACTAAAGAAGGCTTAAATGGAGCATGAAATTCTTAAGACACAACAGGAAGAAGTTCTTAAGGAACAACAAGAACAAGAAATTCTAAATAAATAGCAGGAACTGTTCGATCTACAATTGGTGTTAAGACTATTTAAACTGGAAAAAGTGGATTCAGAAAAATGTATTATAGGGGGTATGCCATTGAATTTAAAAAATCCCTTTAATCCAAACATTACTCAAAAACTTCAAATTTCTTAAGATTCAAATAAAATTAATGAAAATAGTACAGTCTATGTTAATTTTGCCACAGAATGTAGACACAGTTATTTCCTTTGTAGAAAAATGTTTTGGTTAGCCAGAACATATAATTTTGATGTTACTAGATCAAATTAAAAAATTACTTAATATGAGAGAACACAAATTAGATATTCTTGTTTAATTTTCTGATGAGGTAAAAAATTTGGTAGCTACGATTAAAGCCCTAGAAGAAGATGGCCATTTTAGAGATCCCATTTTAATGCGTGAATTGGTGAACAAGATATCAAATCCCTATAAACTTCCTTGGGTAAAACATAGTTCTAATATCCCAAGAGAATGCATAAAGTTAGTTGAGTTTTCTTTATGTTTAGACTGTACAGCAGACGCTGTATGTGAGCACTTTTCTTATGCAAACGGGAGCACCGTTAAATTGTCTGAATTTTTTATATGTTATAGTCCTTGATGTCCTGATTAAAAGTCTTTATAGACCCAATTCTTTCCTATGGCTAGATTTTGACATACAGGGCGTTGAAGTTGAAAATCCCGACTTCTTTAAAATGGACACCAAAAATCCCCTTTTAAATATTTTTGGAAGTTACTGACTGATATATGTAGAGAATATACATAGCTAATAAGCAAAATTAAAATACTGATACTTACAGGGTGATTCATGCTTTCACAGACCTGTTTTGGAAAAAGTATGTATTTTTACAATACAAAAATAGCATGAAATGTCATTAAAAAAAATCACTGTCAATATTTCTCAATATAAGATATAGTATAGATTTTGATGTCCTCTTTCAAAATTCTTATTGGTAAAATTAGATCCTATAGCTAGTTTTCGAAAAAATTAAACGTTTAGTCTATAAAATATCAATTTTTAGTAATAAATAATAATCACGAAATAGGAGAAATACCGTAAACTAAATATTTTTACACACTGTGTTGGATTATATTAAACCTTTGCATTATTTGGAGACAAAATAAGAGAATCATACTTACAGGGTGATCTCACTTGAGCTTGTAAAAGGTCAAAATGAACAAATCAAAATAAAAGCTGCCAAAAAATAGAAATTGGTTAGCTATTTTTTTTTTTTTAATAAATCGTTTTTAAATTAGATTTTGGAGGTTTTACGTATGATGCACAAAACCTCATACAGGGTCATTCAATATTACGATAGATGCAGAACGGACTTACTAGAAAACTGTAGAACATTTACATATTTTAGTTTTTTATTGAACCGATATTTCAGATTTTAAGCTCGTTTCCACACCACCCGTGAGGTAGAGCCATGGACGCGTTTTGTTTTAAGTGGTATTTCCTTTAGGTCTATTCCACTGATAGTTTTGTAGAATCATTATATTATGTTCATTGCCATTGTTGAAGTTATGGACAAAAACTGTAGGTACCTACTTTATAAGATCAGTATGTGCGATAATAACAAGCATATATTAAATTAATGAAGGTGTCCAAATAAAGAGTAAATTAAGGTATTAAAATTGAAAAGTCCAAATTACAGGTACATTAAGTTATTAAAAGTAGAATGTTTAATGATCGTTGCAGTTTAATTATTCTTGTCTATTATGGGACCGAGATCGATATTTTCTGGTAGCAATCGGTGCACTGCATCGTCTACACAATTAAGAAGACGTGTTTGTGGAAATTTAATAATATTGTGATGTCTAGCATATCCAAAAAACCATAAAATTGTTGCAATATGTGCGCAAGTACTTAAAGTTATTGTACCGGATGGACATGTGCAGTAATGGTAAAAAACTGAAGGATTGTCTTGATTAAGTGGCTCCTCGTATGCCAACCACAACATATATTTAGTGGCATTTCTAAATCTAGAGTAGATTCTAAAACGTAAGAAATTAGGTTCTTCTCTTAACTCATCAATTTCTAAAACATTAAGTTCCTCTCTTTGTAATTTGTCTTGTATATATGATGTACTTAAATATAGCTGGTAGGGACCAACGAGGTATTTTAGATCATCGATATCTAACCGAGGAAATTCGGGAACATGCATATGGTTTAGCCTATTCCAGCGACCATCTCTGAATGCTAGATTTTGGGCTTTAACGCGTGCTTGGACAATATTTACATCATCAAGTTTATTTAACATTTCAGTTGCTATCTTAACTGTTCTTGGTATATTTATTAGAGGATGATACTTATTTAATAATGCACCTGCAATTTGATAAAAGTCACGTAAGTTGCATGAGTCGTGGATATCCGTTCATTAAAAAACTTGAAGAGACTTAAAATGTCCATTTCTAGCTTCTACAACCCAACGCGTTTTGGTTATGATTCTTGCTCTATTAGCTTCACTAGAAAATAATTGACGTTGGTTACGACGAAGCAAAGGTGGCATATAAGAAATGAGACCTAATTCATCAAATGTAGGAATGGCATTTCTGTAGCCTCTATCTACTATTACTATATCTCCCTCTTTAAACCAGTTTCTCATTCCATTAACGTCATTCTCTAAATCGTGCCGTAAAATTGCTGCATAATTGTTTCGTGCATCAGAAAAATAGGGACCGTTGACTGATAAAATGTATCCATCAGGAGCTTCTATAATTTCTAACTTAACTAAATATTCCTTTTTAAAAGAGCAATAGGACTAACGTTATATTCTAAAATTGCTGCTCCTTTCAATGGAGTTATATGTACAGTCTACATAAATTATAGCCTTTGGATCATCTGGTGTAGGGTTATAAAGCTTGTTTACAAATTGAGGTATATGATTTATTATATAATTGTATCTGGTTATTGATCTGAATCCAATATTGTTAGGCACAAATCTTTGCAGCAAAGACAGACGGACATTAGACATTATTAAACTAGTGACTTGTCTCGAAGAATAATTAAAAAGTAATTTTATAAATTCATCTGATAATCCATGCCTTAGCTTAACAAGAAAAGCAAGTTTTTTTTGTCCAATATTTCGCCTGTTACAATATTAATTAATTGGTTCACACAACTCATACAGTTCTTGAAAATTTTCTTTAGAAATTGACGTTAAATATTTAAATTCCTCTAAACTAAAAGCACCTATATCTTCCCAATTTATTACATGAATATTTGAATTAGCAGCAGTTCTTAAACTGGACAAAAATGACTGAATATTATTTAGAATGTAAGGCCTATTAACAAAAGGCAAGCCACATGTAAATTAAGCATTAGGATACCTGAATGATCTAAATGAATTTCACATATTTTCAAATGTTCAGGTGCATAAATATTAGATACTAGAAAAATATTTGCTCTACATTTTGCCGATATTTTTCTTACATTACCTTGCACATTGCATACTATGAAACCACGTACTGAATGGGGTGTTAAAACGTTAAGTCTAAGGCAATTTGGATTGTTTTCAATATGTCTTAGTTCCTCTGCAATTCCATGAAAACAATTTAAACATAACCTTACTTCTTCTAGATTTTCGACAGCAGGAAATCCGGCAGCTTGTCTTCTATAAGTAGCCATATTTAGAAAATCTATATTATTGTCTTTGTTTAAACGCGTCGTAAGTCGAACTTGAAAGTTTCTATTACAAACATAACAATTTATTCTATTTGCAAATGCCATATTTGCAATAATATTTAGTTGAAACACTACAATTTTAAATTAAACAATTTAATAGCACGTATTATAAAAAACCACAAATGACATTTATTATAAAAATCAATGACAGATAAATGTACCTACATTTATTGTGAAATAATTTTATCATAGCATACTAGATAAATATACCTATATAAAATATTCCGAGGTAGTTTCAATATTAAGAATTTAACAATAAAATATAGTTTCTATTAAACGTCTAAACTTCTTAGACTGTAAATATATAGCTTTTTCATTTTTTTTTTTATAATAAATGTCATTTGTGGTTTTTTATAATACGTGCTATTAAATTGTTTAATTTAAAATTGTAGTGTTTCAACTAAATATTGTTGCAAATATGGCATTTGCAAATAGAATAAATTGATACGTTTGTAATAGAAACTTTCAAGTTCGACTTTCGACGCGTTTAAACGAAGACAATAATATAGATTTTCTAAATATGGCTACTTATAGAAGACAAGCTGCCGAATTTCCTGCTGTCGAAAATCTAGAAGAAGTAAGGTCATGTTTAAATTGTTTTCATGGAATTGCAGAGGACCTAAGACATATTGAAAACAATCCAAATTGCCTTAGACTTAACGTTTTAACACCCCATTCAGTACATGGTTGCATAGTATGCAATGTGCAAGGTAATGTAAGAAAAATATGGGCAAAATGTAGAGTAAATATTTTTCTAGTATCTAATATTTATGTACCTGAACATTTGAAAATATGTGAAATTCATTAAGATCATTCAGGTATCCTAATGCTTAATTTACATGGTGACTTGCCTTTTGTTAATAGGCCTTATATTGTAAATAATATTTAGTCATTTTTGTCCAGTTTAAGAACTGCTGCTAATTCAAATATTCATGTAACAAATTGGGAAGATATAGGTACTTTTAGTTTAGAGGAATTTAAATATTTAACGTCAATTTCTAAAGAAAATTTTCAAGAACTGTATGA